TTGCAATGAACTGGCCTCAACTATTTTAGATATAAAACTGATATATCTTAAATTAACACACACTGAACAATTTGTTTCTGTAGAGATTTTCAAAACAGGGCCCTTTTAGGCGTCACGAATTACAAGCACGATTGATACAATTACCAACAAGCACAGACATAATTATGTGTATATAAAATAATCTACAGTACATATTTTTGTATATATTGAAGTTGAGTAAGTATTACACTATTAGTATATGTCAAAGTAATATTGATAATTGAAATAGTTCTACCGTGTACCCAAATGTGAAGTGGTGTGATTCAACAATCTTCGAGCGCATTGCCAAAGATATCACGAGGCGATGCAAAAGTACTAATTATTACATTACATAAGTTTTTTTTTTAACAACTACACATAATATTTAAAGAAATTTTGTGATGTGACTGAATGATTAAAATATGGTTGCGTGCATGTGTATTATTTCTTTAAATATTATATAATTAATAGTCAAAGTTTATAGGAAAGGAAAACAATGTGCCCCTGACAGTCCCCCCCCCCCCCCCCCCCCCAAACACACACACACACAAAAGTTTTTTTTTTTATTTTGATTTTTTTTTCTTGTCTAAATAATTTCTGGTAGGAACCCTCTGTGCTCTTCGGAGGTATAAAGAAACAAAAAACTGAATTTGTTTCCTCTGGAAAGTACACGAGAAGGGTCCACATAATTCCATTCCCGTGAAATATAGTTTTCACAATTGTTTTGTTCCCTTTTCGTTTGGGTATGTAGGTTTTTTTTTCTTCTTTTCTTTTCCCTTTTTTTTTTTGGCGTGTCAAAAAAAGGAAACAATTTTTTTCAGCAGGTTTGATCCACCCTGCCCCAGAAAAATTCCTCAATCTGCCCTTTTAAAGACTATATCATTTCCAAGATTTTTACTACATCGGATTTTATATGCATTATTACTCTTACATATGTACATGTATGGATGCTTACATATAAGAGAGAGGGAGAGAGAGAGTATACTTGTATGAAAATGCAAAAAATATTTATCTATAACTTTGCGGTTTAGGTTTTAAGTAATCCTTAAACTATCTTTTAAGATTTTCTCAAAATACAAGAAATTGAATAGGTACCCAATTTTAGACTACCTGCGGAAACTCTCCAATCTGAAAAGACTTTCTATACATGCATATAAAACAAGCACGTAGCACCGTTTCTCAAAATGTGTGTATGCGAGGGGGAGCGGGGACAGTAAAATGATTCACAAGCAAACGAAAAACTTTAGGAACTTAAAAATTGGGGGGAATGAAGAAGGAAAACAGGCATTTAAAAAAATCCGTAGTCAGGGGAGGGACAGATTCTATTCATACTATCATTTTCGGCAGAAAAATATTTGAGTACAATGTACAATAATGTTGATTAGAGTTGGGGGGGGGGGGGCAGCCAGTCTTCAAATAAAAAAAATCCCTGTCGAACACGTGGGTGGGGGATGCCCCCTTTTTCCGAGCATAATGTTTTACTGTTTAGTATGAGATACACACTCAAAGGCTGATCTCCTCCACTTTTTGTTGCACTATAGTCAAATCCTTGATAAAATTGCCCCTCCCCATCCATAATTATCATAATTTTTTTTTTTTTTTTTTTGCTTGTCAAAGATTTTTCAGGTAAAGTGTGAATTATTTCTTAGATGCTACGTGCCTGAAAGACACTCTGAAAAAAGGGAGTAACCCCCCCCCCCCCCCCCCCCCCGCTCCACATATGTGTATATTTGTTAATTTGTGTTCTGCTTAAATGCTCTCATGTCGTGTTCTAAATCATTTTTTACACAAAATTACTTAGTTTAGTTTTCACATAATCAGCAATCAAACTTTTTTTTTTTAGTGATTTCTTATTTTTTACCCAGTCGCGCTAATACTAATTCCCTTTTTTATTTTTGATATTTTCCCTGACCAAAATCTGATCAGCACGGACTAAGCGTATTCGAGTGCTAGGCTGTACGATGAAGTGACAATGTGTTTACTGTTGATTATTTATGGAGTTTATTACTTTTTGTGATGCATATTTCAATAAATGGAATACAAGGTGTAAATTATTCGGCATGTGCACATCTTCGAACGGGTACAGTGGTCTATTTCCAGGTATGAATAAGTTTACAGTGTTCTACGTGTTCTCTCGATATGCATCAGTTGTATTTGAATGCATATGGACATGCATAGGAAATACGCTGGTGAAGTGGTGGTTTGTTCCATTCTTACGATAGATTATTGCAAATTGTTTGTACGAGTTTTACTGTGTATCGTTTCAAGTTTATTGTGCATATATTGGTATGCTTTTAAAAAACACGCGCAACTTTGTTTTTTCTTCCAAACTTGCATTTATGTTACTCAAAACGATAATTATTCATAATTATCATTATGACTGTTTTTATCTGTTCTGGTTTTAAAATGTTTTCATCAATTCATGTGTTCCCAAATACTTTACTTTCGGAGATGTGCACGCGTCGATAGCCAAACCAAAAATTCACTCAAGTGTAACGAGGGCAATTGGGTATATATCGTTACAATAAGACAAGGTATCTGAAAGAAATATGGCGGAATAGTTGGTATGAAACAAGTCGTACATTAATGCAAATGTTGCGTTTTTAAGAATTCATGTCAGCTTTAAAAACTGTGAATTATCCTTTTAAATATCGTAAAAATACAAAAACTGTGCGGTAAAAATTATTTGTCAAATTTTTCCCTCGCAATGTTCATTTGCATTATTTTAACTTTCCATGTGTCACAAACGGCTCTTTTGTCTATTAATCACACCAGTTCTGAAAGGTGCTTAATTCATAATAAAGATTTAAAACGAACATGACAAAATTAAGAATTATGAAGAGAGAAAATTAGAGAATGTAAATATCAGAGTTCTTGAAATCTTTCAGTCCTGTCGGCAAGACCGATAAAAACAACCAAGGACCGATTACTTTAGGTTCTGTGTCAGTCCAAATGACCGGTATATGTTGACAGAGCAACTTGCAAAAATCCGACTAAACACAGAATCGTACGAATCCCCTATAACATACCGATCGTAATCTGTTAAACGCTTTTCTGTATCTCATAATGGCTTCTTCGATGAACGCAAGTGCCAAACTATGACTGATAATATGTTAAAACAAGTTTGTTGACGGCGCTAAGCCAACTGAGAAAATCAAACTAGATTAAAAACTTATGAAGAAAATCGACCCCCACGAGAATTCGATGAAAATTGTTATACGACGATCAGATCAGCATGAAATCTACAGAGTGTATTGACGCAGGGTAAAAACTGTATTGATGATAAAATTCAAATACAGTTTTCATCTTTTTACTGATCTTTTTTTTTTTTTTTGGACTGATAGAAATCTGTCTGGACTGGCAATCTTCACATTGCAGTCAGTCCAAATGACTGACAGCAGAAAAAAGATTTCAAGAACTCTGAAATATAAGCATTGAATTCTTATTTTTGGATGTCGTGGGTCCTATAACACCACCTGTTTGTGCCGACAAATTATCATACCTCACTAACGCGAGGTATTCAATTTGTTGGCACAGCCAGGTGCTGTTACAGGACTGACAACATCAAAAAATGCTTAAAACAATCCTAGATACATGTATCATCATACTTTTAAAGAATATTAATATTAGCATGATTAGATTCAATTTTCTTAAAAGGAAATGATCAATAATTATTATTCTTTTTTTAATAGAAGAGTTTACAAGTATGCTTGTAGGATTTAACATTTTAACTGCCTAGTACATATTTTATGGTATTTTTTCTTTATAATGTTTTAAAATTGTTTTAAAATTGTCATTCATTTTTCGGCAAATGCATTACAGTTCTACTTTGAACATTTCCTAGTTACTATTATATCTCCTACATAACCATTCTGACTGGAGATTAGCTAGGGCATAGATATACTTGTACTAGACACCCCCTCCATCTGTCCCTACATTGACACACATCAGCTTTTAAAATTGGCGCAAAAGAAATATTTGCCTGGTGACTAAAAATTTGCATTTACAACTATTTAAAAATATTATGAGCCAGCTGGCACCTAAATTTTAGATGTTACTTAGTGGCCTGCACATATTGTGATGAATAGATCTGCCACATAAGCAAAATAGGGGAACTAACATTTTAATCAACTCAAAGCCTATGAATTGAGAATTGAGAGAGAGAGATCGACTTTTAACTTTTGAAGTTCATAAACATCTTTTAAATCTAATGTTATTTAAATATGAGATGAGGGCCAGCTGTGAGCTGGATGCCTATCATTTTATACTGGACTGTGTGTAGATTCTTCTATCACAAAATAATTATTATATTATTGTTTTGAAACATTTTCCCACTGATCAGCCTTATAACTGACCATTTATTGCAATCAAAACCTTAAATTATTCTCTTATACAAATACAATTTTATTTTGAAAAAAATTAAACAATTGTTCTGGAAGGATTTCAGGATGCTTTAAGGACAGGCGACACATACCTTTATAATACATATTTTTTTACAAGAATTTGTCATAGAAGTATTGCTACTTTGATAAATTTCCACCCAAAAAATGAAGCTACCTTACCAGGCATTTGTGTAAGATACCGGAGGATGTTATTTACAACATAATCCTACTGGAAATCACTTGCATTGCCAATATAACAATTTTTTGGTGATTTATAATTAATAAACATAGACATTTTGAAAACAGTTTTAAAATCTCAAGATAATGATAATTATGATTAATTTGTCGTATACTAATATGAAGAAATACAAAACAGGTATTAAAGCAACATGTCATCAGACCTTAAATCATACAAAATTGTTATAAAAAGGAACAGTGGACTGATTCTAAAGAATTAAAAGATGTTGACAACACATGAAGTTAACAGATAATTTAAAGACAAGTATGATGGACAGAAGGCAAATCTCTATTAGAAAAGCTATTGTGGTAAATCACATCAATTGCAGAATGACGTTAACTAAAATACTAGCTTCTAATTACCTGAGCTGAAAAGTTTCTCCACATCAGATGACTTGCATGTCATCTTTGGAATTCCACTCACATAAAGAGTCATTTTGTCACTTATCAGAAACTTTGTCCTTTGTATTTCAGTCTCTCATGTGGAAATTTTCCAAGTCTTGCAAGATTTTTGGCCTGTAAAATTAAATGCATTTCAGAAAACTCATACATCACTGCAAAATGTTTTTTTAATACAACTATACATAAATAAAAAACATAAATACAGTGTAATATTCCTTCCCTTAATTATTTAGTTGCATGCTTTAATTTATAAATAATATTTATCAATGCCTTAATTAAGGCCAATAAGTAATTTTTTCTCTCTCTTTTTTCATATAAGTATTATGCAAGCATCGATGCGAAAGAAAAACACATTTATTGACTGGGTTCAAAGGCTACAATGACATACATTTTGGCCAACCCAAGAACCAAACTTTTTATTAACTGAAGTTATTACATAGGTCAAATAAATTAAGGCAAACAGTTTTTGTTACTGAAAGGGTTTAGCAAATTCTGCTTTTAAAGTGTTTAAAAAACTAGGATGGTAAATTCTTGAAAGTGTTTCTGAAAAAAATAATTCTAGTATTTGTTAGAACTTTACAGGTACTGTAAGTACACACCATATCCCATATTCACAGTCACTGTGTTATTTTGACATTAAAATAATTAAACCTATTCAGTTTTCAATACCTATATAAATATCAGCCTGTCATTTGAAAAGGACTGATCAATAAAGATTGAGTTTTCATAGCTGCTCCTTCATCAAGGTAGGAATTATAGAATGATCTATTAAGTTATATTTACATTTACCAATGAAAATACTAATGAAACTAGCATTCAGTTTTCAATGACATGAAGTCAGTCACTTGATCAGAATTCTTGAATATGGAGTGCAAACCACGCGAGACATTTGGAAAGTCTAGAAAGTCTAGACTGTGACATCATTCATGTATTCTATAAACATGATAAAAGCAGAAATATTCTTTTGGGTTCAATTTCATTTATTTTGTGGTTTACAATTATCAATGAAATTAAATCCCACACAAAATTTTTATATGACTATATACATGTATAGAATAGGGTTACTCTTGAAACAATGAAAAATGCCCATGAAACCTTCTTAGATGACAAAACAACAAAATTTTATCCCCAAGAAAAGAATAAGGTTCACTTAGGGCCTATTATGGCACTGTGAATTTCTGGAAAAGTGAAACTGCTTCGTTTTAGTGGACAATGCATTAGACCATATTGTTGACTGTGTATCTATCAACCAGAAGTCGCTGATGATACTATAGCTCTACTGGATTGTACTTATAACAAAGGAAGGGCAAAGTAGCACTTAGATTTGAAACTTTGAACATGTTGAAACAATAATATTGTGTGCCTTAGTGAAGACTACTTATGTGCCAAGTTATATTGAAATCAGACCAAAACTGTAGGAGGAGTAGCATTTTTAAAGTATTTCACAGAAATTTCTATTTTTAGTAACCAAGGCACACCTTTCATTATGTTTCATTGAAATAAAAAAAAAAACGATAAAGAGAATTATGTTTCTTAGTGTAGTCTACCTGAGTGCCAAATTATATTGAAATCAGACCAAAACTGTAGGAGGAGTAGCATTTTGAAAGTATTTCACAGAAATTTCTTTTTTTAGTAGCCATGGCAATACCTTTCATCAGAATCAAAAACAGATATATATGTATAGAATTGTGTATCTTAGTGTAGTCTACTTTTTTGCCAAGTTATTTTGAAATCAGACCAAAACTGTAGGAGGAGTAGCATTTAGAAAGTATTTCACAGAATTTTCTTTGTTCTATAGTAACCATGGCAATACCTTTCATCAGAATCAAAAACAGATATACAGAATTGTGTATCTTAGTGTAGTCTACTTGTGTGCCAAGTTACATTGAAATCAGACCAAAACTAGGAGTAGCGTTTTGAAAAATGGTTAAACGAGGGACAGACAGACAGACAGACAGACAGACAGACGATGGACACCCTACTATCACATAAGCTCTTCTTGTCTCTGACAGTAGAGCTAAAAATGACCTGCTATGGAAGAGTCTGAGTTGATGTCTTTGGGTGCACAGCCCCCTGAAGATTGAGGAATGTCACCATCATTTCGGATCAATCCCTAGTGGCAAGATAGCTCAGCTATTCATGGAGTAGCCTGGTTCCCTGGCTCATCCTTGCCAAGGCAGGAGAGTATCGCATGTCAATTGTTAGTGTTAGTGTCGCGGAGTATATACAAAGCATAACAGGGACAGGGAACCAGGCTATTCATGGAGCATCTGACTTGTGATTCAGGGGGAACAGGTTTGAATCCTGGTCTGGTCTGTCACATTTCTCCCTCCCTGATTACAGTTTATATGTAGGGGTAATCCAACTTTTGACAATTTTAGGAGGACCTCATTGCCCCTTCTAAATTCCCGAGTGATTATCATCGCCAAACCCCCCAACTTTGTCACTACCCTAACTACGTCACTTTCGGGAAACTCCGCGCTGTTTGTAAACAAATGCGATTGTGAGGTCACTTTTTACATGCTGAAAATCTACACTCAATTGCCGAGAAATTATGACAGTCAAGTTCAAGAATGTGACAAAAATAAATAATAAATACATGTGATCTATTGTATCTATCATATTTTATGTGAAATCAGTTAGTACTTTTTCCTTTATGCACTATTCCATCGATACATCCGACATGTGTGCCAATATGCTCATTTTTACATGTCAGTCGTATTCATGAAGGTCTTTGACAAAGGATTAATAAGACATACTATATTGAATATGGCTAAAAAAAATTTTTCATCTCATTTTGGTCTAATATGCTTCACGTTGGCGATAACGTAGCGTGAGGTATTACATATTAAATACATTATATTAACGTTATTTTTTCTGTTGTTATTTTAAATCTTCAAAACTAATTTTCTATGTTTACAAGTTTAAGATGAAGGGAGATAAAACCAAACTGGAAAAAAAATTATAATCAATTTGTTGACATATTGTAGAGGACACTGGTGACAGAGTTTGGGTTCATTGTACATAATGTACACGGATGTGATACGCGTTCTATTTATATTAGTTTTGTATAAGCCCAACAACTGAATATTTTAAAATGTTCTGAAAACGATGTTTAAGTTCATTACTAAGTGTAGCAAACAAAAAACAAATTTATCAAAGAAATAATTGAGAGAGTAACCTGGCGTGTTTTCTGCTTGTGTGACGGAGTTTGGGTAGATGGGGATATACAATGTACATTTAGCAATAGTTATAAAATCTTTAAAGCTGCCTTTATTTAAGTAGACATCCATTACTGCAATTTGCAATAAACATGATAGATTATCATTTTTCTTAATAAGAACTGCGAAGGATAGTATTGTTCTCCCACCTACCTCCAAGTCAATAACTTACATTTAAAGACATTATGTTATCGATGCCAGCATCTGCATGATCAAGTCCAATATGCTACAATTTTAAAAAGTTAACACATTTGAATGATTTTTCATATCTATATATATATTTAAATGAATTTTCATAAAACATTGCTTCTTTGGGAAAACAGAGATAACTCTTTAATTTGGGAAAACGTGTTTTCACTATAGAAATCAACGGAAAATATTTTTAAAACATCTTTCCCCCCCTCTGCCCCCCATGAAACAAAAAATCCTTTTTACAGGTAATATATGGACTGTCATTTCACAAATTCATACCAAAGCTTTTTGTGTTTCATTGGGGGGGGGGGGGGGACATATGTTTACAGACAAAAAACTACTAAAATGCTTATTTTGTCACCAATTTCAAAGGGGATTACAACTAAAACATTGTATTTCATTAATAATATATGTTTAATTTTATATGAGTAAAACAAAAGAAAAGATTTAAGGAACATTTACTCATATCCAAGAATATTTTGAAAGTGTAGTGATACTTTAAAGCCCGATTTCAATGAAAAATATCGTCTACCCAGCTGGAATTAGGGGTAATTAAATATTTAACCACAGGGGCTTGTGTAGAGAAAATAAATCAGTTAGAAAATTAGTACCTCAGAGAAAACATGATTTTTTTCTCCAAGGTACTAATTTTCTAACTGATTTTTCTCTACACAAGCCCCTGTGATTTAACACTGGAATTAAAATTATCAGTCAATTACCATTGAACTGTTCTTTGCATTCAATAGATTGCCATTAGTATTGAATTAAGGATACACCAAAGGTTTCCAAATGCCAGAATTTAATTTACATGTAATTCTTTCATTATCAAAGATAAAATAATAAAAGTATATATCATTTGAAAGCTTGTTAAATTTACTATATAATTATCCTAATTTAAACTTTAATTAATAACTTATTTAAAAATTATTTAAATATTAATGTAAATTTTAGTGCATAAATATTTTATAAATCAACTATTTTGTATTTAACCCCTCAAAGTGGTCATTTTGCCTCAAGGTAGATTAAAGATTGAACTTAAAAACTGTATCTCAGATTTTTGATAAATCTTCTAATTCAAAAGTTACAGCCATTTGCTCTTCAATATTATCAATTTATTAGCCTAATTTAACATTTCCCTCAATAATTCCAAAACTAAGCTAGATATCAAAAATCTGAGATACGGTTTTGTGAACACACATTTGAGAAGCAACCCATCCAATTTTCAGAGAAATTGGTCAATAAATAAGGGAGCTGAATCCTTTGAAATAATACCACAAACTGTCTGATCTTACTTTACAGTAGAGGGCAAAAACCCATTACACAACAAAATCTGCCAAAGCTAGGAATATATGACACCTTGGAGATTCAGCTTTGGATACCTGTCACTTAGCCATATTTCCTATGCATATTCACAAGAATGGGAGGTTCTTTTCTGTATTTAGATGCTTTTAATTAAGTAATAAAAATAGGTTCAATTCTGAATCAGAAAGATTTCCCGGCAAAATGGCAAGAGCTAAGCTCCACCTCCTATTTTATGGTCATCAGTGATCTGTTAGATCTTCTTCTCTAAATCTAGAGTCCCTGTAGTTTAATTACTGATAACCTCTGTGTGGCTAGTGTAGAATTCCCCAAGTGGTCACAGTGATTTATTGCATCTTTCATGAGCAGGCAGTCACAGATCAAATCAGAAGCTTCAATAACGGAACATTCACATGTGGTAGTGTTTATGTTTCATTATTGTTAAATAATTAGAAAACCATTTCATAATTACTCAGAATTTTGCATGCATTATAAAGCAGTGATTAACTTCTTTTTCTTAGCCAAAAATCTCAAAATTGTTGAAAATCTTGAAAAAAGCCTTTGGTGTATCCTTAAATGGGTGTAAAATGTAGGCGGGAATCGAGAGTTAAAAAAATTAGCTTGCTAGCACTGGCTAAGTTCTTTCTCTTTGTGCCCGATTCTTAGGTGGGCCTGTTACTGTAGTTACTGTACTTTGGCAGTTTAATTCTAAAATTATGGAAAATAAAATTTCATATACAATGTACAACATACAATAAATTGAACTTACATTAAGACATTATGTTATCGATACCAACATCTGCATGATCAAGTCCAATGTGCTACTTTCGTTTTCTTAATTTCCAATAATATTACGTTGTTATTTTTTGAAAAACATTTTTTATCAGTTCTCGGGACGCACTAAATGCTGAATAAAATAAAGACCTGAATGATGTGATCGTGATTTAAAATGTGTTTGGGAAGAAATTAATTGAAGGCAAATAAACTGATAAATGTCCTTGATTATACATTTCATAATTTCAAGATTTTTACTCCGTAGAAATCAATTTTCCTATTAAGATAAATAAAGAGTGCACCCTCCCTGGTTTCGCCCAACATCCCGTACGCATCGAAAGCGACTTTTTGCAGCTTTTGGCCTACCGAAACATCCCGAAAGTTTGCGCATGCGCGAAATGCGGAAACCCTCTTACTTCAACATGGCTGTAAGAAGATGCGGCTTTGCACTTCGGTGTATTGTTTTTGCTGTGGTAAGCTTAGTTTTCTCCCCAGTACTTAAAATATGATAAAAATTATAAAACTTGGATGCATCTTTGATATTTTTTTGCAAACTTTAGTTAATGATTCATTGAAAAAACACAAACAATTGAGCAGTTTCTCCGTACTCTGTGAAGGTGCTTTATCAGAAATGAATGAAGTAGGCCTCATATTATCATTAAACATTATGCTTGTGCCTTATATAATTAAAATAATAAGAAATGATATTTTTTCCAATATTTAATCATATATCTGCAATTAACATCAGCTTTGTTTGGAAATCACCATTTGCCCAAGGTCATTGCTTGACATTGTATGCAACTTTGTCTCTGTCAATGTCAATAGTCGGTTCTATTAAAAAAAAATTGTTTGAATTATTCACAAAGACATTTTAAGTGTTTAAGAAAAGTGTTCTTATTATCAATACATGCTTCTATCAAGTTATTCAATGAATTCAAAATATTACCCACTGAATTTTGTATGGAAAAATTTAAAGACCAACACTTTTCAGGTCAACCAAGTGAATTTTTTAATTGGTAGAATGAGATATGATTGTGCCCCCCTCCCACCCCTAAAAAAAGGAATTGTGAGAGAACTACAATTTAAAATATTTTTTTAAATGTTGTGAAAATAACATTGATTTTTTTCTGAAAGGAAGTGGGAATGGTAGGCCACTAAAAATTTGCAAGTACCCTATACCTTTTAGCCAGCTGATATCAGGATTGTACCAACTAAGTATTCCTTTTTAGAAAAATTCAGTAACATATTTAACTTAAATCCCATCCATGTGGTGCCTCCTATTTTTGTCCACGTCTTTGTAGATGTTGCATGTTATAATCATTTTGAAAGCCCTGGCATTTAGTTTTATTTTTTTAAGGCTTCATAATCAGGGATGGGGTCAATAATTACAATTGCTTTGACTTTTTCTTCAATTAAATTACAATTTAATTACATGCTTTATAAGATATAAGACATGTAATTAATTACAATTACTTTGAAAGAGTAATTAATTAATTACAAATTACATTTTTATTTTATTCAATTTTTCAAAATCCTTATGAATGATTATAGATGTACGAAACACCATTGTACAAGCTCATGCAGCCTCTGTACAAACAATACAAAAAGTAAATATGACTTTAGAAATTGTGCATCTTTATGGTGTTATAACTTTCATTTTCAAAACATTCAAGAATTACCTGTGATCAGTTAGACACTGTTTCCTCCACAAAAAACCTACATGTACACAAATTGCATGCCTTGTGAGACTTATTTAGAGTAAATGATTTAAATGAATAAACGAGTAACTGAAACTCCTCAGATTATGCTCAATTATAGATAATCTGAATTTCCTAATTTGCTTTTAATGTTGAACATTTTTATTTCTGTATAATATTTGGATGTAACTTTTTCAGATACAAATTCCAAAACTTTATTCATAAAATAATTATTGAATTGAAAGTTATACTTTTCTAAAGCTAGTGGAGCAATTTTAATTTAAATAACCACCTCTATTGTTCTTATCTTCCAAATCGTGGACTGAATGTCTCTTTTTAGGGTTGATTTGTTTTGATTGCAATTTTCAGCAGTTATCTCTAGCCAAAAAGAGAGATCTTAATGACACACACAGTCCTATTCTTTTAGAATTAATATTATTGATCAAACAAAAATGAATGAAATGTTTCATAGCTAAATAGATAGGTTGTACAAAATTGAAAATCTGTTCAATTAGGGAATAACTGTCCTCTAATTTAGTATTTGTGACTGTTAATGCAGATTTAACAGTCGCAAACTGAGTTTTACCGGCACATGTAAGCGGAGCTGGTAAAACAGATGTTTATGACCATTAAATCAGCATTAACGGCCAATCAAAATGTGTTTTACAAAACAATTGCATTAGAATTACAAATTACATCCAACTACTTCAAAAAATGTAATTATTTATGGTCAATAACAATTACTTTTTTCAATTATCCCATCCCCAGAACTTCATAATAAGAATTTCTGATTCATCTAATATTAATTTCATACTTAAGTTAGTGGTTGTTTTTTGCATTTCAGGCCTAGTGGTGATTTCAAGGAAAGGGGGGGGGGGGATTAAATCATTTTATTTGAACCTGATAAGGACTTGAAAATGTTATAGGCAAATATGAATTTCTTTATATTTAATCTTTATAGCATATTAAACCCCATATGGGCCAAGCAATACAGTTAAATAAAAAAACAAGGAAGAATGTTCATAATATACATAACACATAAGTAATTTACTTCAATTCTTATAATGACATGTTTTAACCTTTGATAGATTGACTTACAACCAGTTGTCATAAATAATCCGAAAAAAAATTATTTTACAACCTCTGAAAGGGACAAGTTATTAGTAGGCAGCTAAAAATCGAGGCTTATTTTTAGAGTTTCCATTTCTCAATTTCCTATATTGCATTTTTTTAATTTCAGATGACAATGTATTCCATATATGGAATGATGGAGGATGGATTTGACCCTTTAGGTCAATTTGGTGTCCCAGTAAGTTGCTTCAAATTTATACAGTCAGACAAGACATATATATTTAAATATGCATTCCAAACTTTTTAGGTCACCTGAGTAACTCAGGTGACCTATTGCTATTTGTTTTCGTCCGTCGTCGTGCATCCTCAGTTGTCCGTTGTGCTTCATCTGTCTTGTGTTAACATTTGAATATTTTCAGCTTCTTCTCTGAAACCGCTGAACCAATTTCAGCCAATTTTAGCATATGGCATCTATGGGTGAAGGGGAACAAATTTGTGAATTTCATGGTTTCTGCCCCCCTGGGGCCTGAGAGTGGGGCAAAAATCATCATTAAATTAATGCAATCTTTTAGAATCTTCTTCTTTACTCCTGAACGTCAAGTAGTCAAACTGTTGGCATGATTGTAATAAGCATTGAGCCTCTACCAAAATTGTGAAATTCATGGCCCCTGGGTCAGGGGTTCTGGCACTAGGGCGGGGCTCTAATAATTATACAATTCTTTGAAAAACTTCTCCTCTGCTCCTGGGTAAGCAAATGAACTAAGTACATAGTTATGATGAGGAAGAGTGCCTCCTTTCAAAATTGTGAATTTCATGGCCCCTGGGACAGGGGTTCTGGTGCTAGGGCGGGGCTGTAATGATTATATAGTGAAAATGCATTAATTCTTTGAAAATCTTCTCTGCTCCTGGGTATTTAGCAAATGAACTAAGTACATAGTTATGATGAGAAAGGGTGCCTCTCTAAAATTGTGAATTTCATGGCCCCAGGGTCAAGGGTTCTTGTGCTTGGGTGGGAGTCTATTGATTAATTAGCAAAAATGCATTAATGCTTTGAAAATCTTTTCCTCTGCCCCTGAGTACTAAGCAAACAAACTAAATGGAATAATATCAGTGTAAATGTATTAAATAAAATTATGAGTAAATGTGCCTTTTCTTTGCTTCTGAGTATCTAGGAGGCAAAAAGAGTACACAATTGTAATAAGTGAAGCAAACGAGAGTTACTCTCCTTTGCTAGATGTTGTTAATCAAGAAATCCTTGTATATAATTTAATTAACAGGTTATTTGATTGAATGAGAATACAAGAAAGAATGTTATATATTTAGAAACGAAATAAAAATTAATGTTTGGTTTAAATGAGTAAAGCATTCTCAAAGTCAGATTCTTGCCTGGAAAGCAATATAAAAGATTGACATAAAGATTATTTATATATATTTAGCAAAAATTGTAATTGTACATAGTATGTTTACACTGTGGTGTTCTGTTTGACAGTAGATGAGTTGTTGTCACTGGTAGAGTCATGGTTGACAAGAGACTTGACGAAGTTGTTTTATACTTTATCAAAGTTAATAAAAAATCACAGAGAGTCAGGGTGACTTATTGTAATTTGTGACAGTGGCAAATAGCCATGTTGTATAACCAAGTCTATATGTACTGAATTGTATCACTAAGCAAGTGACAAAAACATATCTGTATATATTGAATACCTTACACAATAGGCAAGTGTTCATTATATATGAAACTACGAAGTGTCGCGTTTGATCTGATGATCCGCGCCTGTCAACGAGACGTGATATGGCCCTTCTGATCAAGTTACTGTTATAATGATAAATTTATTATATACCCCTTTACAACTAGCAAAATATAATAAAAGGAAACTTTTTGGATCAATTCCATAACTTTTATCCATTGAACAAACCATTTTGTCAAGAAACTTTTAGATGCTCGAGAATAAAAACGTCATTTATCTGTGTACATGTACTACGTCATCAGTTTCAGAGAGGGGTGATATATATGGATTCAGAAAACCACAGTGTGGTGATCCGGAACATCGGATCGTCACGTGATTGCATAAATTCAACAATAATTTAAACTGAGTGACAAATATTTGGGTATATAATAAGTACTGTTATTTGTATATTTTGCATTGTATGATCCTAAGAAGATCACTCGGGTCTATCACGTTACAATAAGCAAGGGTAATTTTACCAGATTTTCAAAATTCTTGGGCAACATTGCTTCATCTATTAGTTAATTTTGTTTTATACTTTTATGGACCCTTTACAGTCTTGTATTATACTCAGGTGACCATTAAGGCCCTTGGGCCTCTTGTTTCCTTTATATAAAGAAACTACATTTCATGTTTTGATGCAATTCAAACTTGATGTGACATTATTAATATACTAGTATACAAGTTGACAATAATAGTAGAAATCTGAGAAAACAACTTTCTTTTGTTTTTTAAAGACTTCTTTGCATCAATGTGCATACTGTTTTGGCTTTATATGAACCATATGTCATATATCTAGTTCTCCCTTGAATCAGAAATGATGATATAAATATTTTAAGATTGATTAAGAGTTGAAAAGGTTGTGCATCTTAAAATTGACTAGTAAGCTCTGTGGTTGAATTAGCTATACCAGTTTAGCTTATTTTGCTACTCAAAGCACATTGATTAACTATTTTTAATCATACTGTTTTCTGAAATGTGCAGTTTTTTCAACATGGATACAAGTCATACATTTTCAGCTTCTTAAAACAATGCATGAAAAAAAACTGCTTTTCAAATACTGTAACTCTTTCCAAGTACTTGTGATCATAAGTTTTTAGCTCACTTGAGTTTTTCTGGTTTTCTGATCACATTTTGTCTGTCATCCATCTGTCCGTCTGTAAACTTTTCACATTTTTGTCTTCTTCACTAGAACCACTGGGCCAATTTTAACCAACCTTGCCACAAAGCATCTTCAGGTAAAGGGGATTCAAGATTGTTCAAATGAAGGGTCACACCTACTTTCAAGGGGGGATAATCAAGAACTACTGAAAATTTGGTGATATCATTTCAAAAAAGTCTTTTCAAGAACCACTGACTGGTCCCAAAAAGTTGAAACTTTCTTTTACATAGACTTAGTGTAGATTCAATTTTGTTCAAATTATTACCCACTGGGGTAGGGTGGGGCCACATATGGGGATCCAAAGATTTACATAGAAAAATGCAGGGGAATTTTTCCATCATAAATCTTCTCAAGAACAGCAATGGCATTATTGTCCCCCGTTTTCGCAAAAGGGATCTTGGGGACATTAAATCTCATTTGTCTGTCAGTCTGTCTGTTTGTCAGTCTGTCCATCTGTCATAATATTGAATAAATTTAACCTTGATCATAACTTTTGAATAATAAGAGATAGGGCTTTCATATTTCACATGTACATAACCTGTAAGAACTTTCTAAATATACAATGATCTTTGAACCCATGCCCATGACCTTGAAGTTTGACCTACTTTTCAAAAAATTTAACATTATTTTAAATTGATCATTTTGAAAGAGAAAAGATAGGGCATTCATATTATACATGTATATTACCTGTGACAAGATCTTTCTAAATATATCATGACTTTTGACTCTGTGACATTGACCTTGAAGTTTAACCTATTTTTCAAAAATGTTATATTTCTTAATAACTTTTGATTGAGAAGAGATAGGACTTTCATATTTGATATGTACGTTATCTGTAACAATATGTTTCCATGCATGCTATGATTCTTTACCCCTTGACCTTGATGTTTTACCTCATTTTCAAAAATTTTAACTTTGGTGATTACTTTTGAATGACATATAATAGGGCGTGCATATTTGAAACAATATGTCATAAATAATGGTATCCCATCCACTAGGACACAGAAAGTAGGGGACCACAATTCTTTGAATTTGCTTGTTAGTCATTTTGATATGGAAACATATAGTGTAGATTCAAGTTTTTTATGCCCTGCCATGAAATAGTGTTTGTCATGTCTGACTTCAATTAAATGTCATATGCTGATACATACTGATGTAAGCTTTTCAACTGCATCAATCTTTTAGACCTTGACCTTTCCTTTGACCTTGACCTCTCTTTTCTTAAATAAGTGTTAAGCTCAGATTTAAATAAATCATTCAAGATATTTTTATCAAACCTAGTATGCTGACATGTATTAGTGAGAGCTATTCAACTGCATCGAAAACTTTCCACCTTGCACTTTCCTGTGACCTTAGACCTACCTTCTCTTCAAATTGTATTTTGCTTAGTTTTAAAGAAACAATCTAAGATATTTTATGTAAGCATGCACTTATACATAATTTGGTGAGAATTTATCATCTATATCCAATTTTTTTTTAGATTTTAGTTTCAATTTTAAAGAAACTATAGCTATTCAAGATATTCTCATCAAACTTCATACATTTGGCGGGGCATTTATGTCCTATGGACATATTTCTAGTTTTCAAATCATGACCTCTGAGGATAGGGTCAGGCCACAATAAGGGATCAAAGTTTTATATAGGAATAAAAGGGAAAAAAAATCTTCAAAATTCTTCTTTTCAACATGTTCAAGAACAACAAAAGCATGATTAAAATGAAAACATTCTCAAGAAGTATAGATTCAAGTTTTTACAAATCATGACCCCATGGGTTAGGGAGGGGCCATTTTTTTCCTGCCCCTATTTGCCATCCACATGGAAATGCAAATTTTAAAACCATTTTATACATCTACAGGACAAAATCAATCATCTTCCAAATGATCATGATTTAAGGCTAATGCATAAAATAGAAGGGAGGTTCTGGAAACCAGGGTATTTAAACATGTTAAATATTTTTAAAAAAAATTTGACCCCCATTTGACCCCTAGGGTGAAAATGAAAATTCCGAAACCTTACTGCACATCTACATGACACCACTAACCATCTCCCAAAAGATGATTAGGCTACTGTGTAAAATGTAAGAGGAGTTTAAGAAAGAAGAGTGTGACAGACGGACGGACGGACGGACAGACATGAGTAACAACAATATACCGAACTTTCTTTAGAAAGTGCGGGTATAATTAAACACATCACAGGTCAATATTGTCTTTTAAAATTAAATTTCATGTCTTTTCATGCACAACTCAAGTGGTATTTTATGAAAGTCCATATTTAAAACAGAGAATTTCATGAAATGCTTGTTTTGTATTAACACAGAAACTGATTACAGTGACAAAACGAAGAAATTTCAGAATTCCCAATTTTTTTTTTTCTTCCAAAACAAAAAAAAACTTTAGGATCGGGTGCAAAAAAATGGGTCGGTCGGGTAGCAGGAAACAAGACTATTTTTAATATTTTTGGCCTTATGGAAGTCTATCAACTTGTATATTTCCAGCCTAAATAATAAAAATGCCAGGGTAAAAAAAATTTCAAATAATCTCAGTCACATACAATACCATAACCAAATTCTTTCCATTTTGCCTCAGTCAATATTGATAATTTTCTGGTGAATAACCAAAGATATTAACCATATAAAAAGTCCATAATTGTAATATTTTTAGTGGTACATAAAACTACAATCTTTGTTCTGAATATGGTGACAATTCAGACATAAATGCCCTCTGGTTTCTGAAGCAGAAACTCATATAACTTTGGTAACTGTTAAATTCATTCTTTAAAATTAGGCTAAAGACAGGTTATAATGTAGAAATAAGCAATGATAAACTATGAAAAATTATATCTGATTGAATTTCTAAGTTTTCATGCATCAGTACTCGATTTTAGGAACCAGTCAGAATACACATACCTGGACAGCCGGAAACAGAAGAGATACCTCCCATTCAGAATTCAGTAAGTTTTGAAAAGTTGCTTTTGTTTTTTATTTTATTACAAATTAATTTTGGGGTGATAAACTACCAAGAATTAATATTTTTGTGAATTTCTAAGTTTTCATGCATCAGTACTCGATTTTAGGAACCAGTCAGAATACACATACCTGGACAGCCGGAACCAGAAGAGATAGCTCCCATTCAGAATTCAGTAAGTTTTGAAAAGTTGCTTTTGTTTCTATGCCCTGCCATGAATATAGACAGGGCACATAGTGTTTGTCATGTCTGTCTTCCATCCTTATGTCTTTCTGTCACTATGCATTTAGCTCAGTTTCAAAGAATTTATTTAAGATACCTTTTCAAACTTCATACACTGATATATTGATAAAAGCCATTTTGGTTCATCAGCAGTTTCTGTCCTTGATACAAATTGATGACAACAATTCAACTTCATCAACATTTTTTGACCTTGACATTTACTTTGACCTCACTTTTCTTAAAGATATACACGCTATAACTTGCGTCAGATAAAAATAAAGTTGTTATTTATTTTGTTTGCCAAATAAAGTTACGAAAATACTGTAAATTAAACAATTAAAAATGAACGTGTTATAAAGATCTCAAATTATAATTATTTATTGTCCTACTAGCAAAGCAATGCCTCTATATTTAAAATCATGCATCACGTGACACTGTCGCTACTTTTAGAACGATAAACAAAAATGGCGTCAAGAAAACGAGGTAGGCTGTTTGGTATACAAATAACTTTTGAAATGGATGACACATGTGTAATGCTTAAAGATACTTATCCTTTAAAACAACTAGTATTAACCATCTACTCTGTAATGAAAGATATTGACCTTTTACTCATGATTGTAGTCAAAATGCAACGTAGCTCGTCGTCTATGATTTCCCGCAGACATGCGTGTCTATATACTGTTTACGCACTTCTTTCATCAATATTCATGAAAAGGCTGAATTCTTAATTGCAGATCTTGCTTAATTGTTTTGTAATTATAATGACTTACTTAGTAAATCTTTGTGTAAAGTATTATTTTTTATTACACACTATGTTTCTCAAGTCATTTAATCATTTTGTTTCACTTATAAAAAAAGGTTGCATTTATATAGCATGTATATCTTTAAATTAGGGAATAACTATAATCTCATTTGGTACTTGCAACTGTTAATGCTGACTTAATGGTCTCAAATATCCTTTTTACTGACTCAGCTCTCAGTTAAAAAAAAACCAAACTAAAATCTTATCAAATCTGTATGCTTATACTGTATATAAACTAGATGAGAGCTGTTTAACTGCATTAACATTTTTTGACCTTGAACTTTCCTTTGATCATGACCTCACCTTTCTCAAATTTGTTTTCTGCTCAAAAAAACTATCCCAGATATTTTTTATGCAAGTTTTTGCACTGATACAATATTTGGTGAGAATATATCAACTATGTTCATTTTATTTATCCTGAACTTCCCAATGACCTTTGACTTGACTTTTTATTGTGTATTAAACTAACTTATAAAGAAACCATTATGGTATTTTCAACAAAGTCTTGCACTAATACAAATTTTCATGTTGCATTATTAATAAACCCTGGGCGAGGCATTTATGTCCTATCAACATATTTCCAGTTTTATCTAATCACAAATTAAAGTGTCATGAAATATGCCTATGTGACAATTAATTGTGTGTGATTGACACACCAATAACTCACACAAAACCTGAAATATTCCTTAATTATACTACATGAGAAATGATTACTTAATTTATTCTAATTTCTAAACCAACAACTAGCAATTTTTTTTTAAATTGCTTTTTTTCGAACAAGAGAAAATATCTCAATTTTGTTTCTTATGTTTTTTTTTTCCTTTTTTATTTATTATTTTTTACAAATTACTTGAGCTGTGTTAAAGCAACTTCCTAAAAAATAAGTACTAATTAAACCAGTAAATATGGGTAGTGTTTCGGCAGTCTATGACATGGGTTCAATTCCCATCGCTACCAGGCAGCTAGTTACTTTTCAATATTTAACTTTAAGTTACAATTTTATGCATGATTTTATCGATAAAGTGGTGATGGCTACTAATATGTTTAGGACTTCCTATATTTAGAATTATTTGTTTTATACTTAGTCGTTTGCTAGGGGATATAATACACACAAGCTAGATAAATATACAGTATTTCACTGAAGCTTTTGATTTTTTTATTGTAGCATAATTTTACTCTACCAACTATAGTTTTACTCTTCTTTTGCCTTTCATTCAACTGCTTTATCAGTCAAGGGCACAATGGAAACAAGTTACTGTAAAAGTATTAAATGCTATAATTTTGGGTTATCTGCCCCTGATTTTGGTTTTTAGCTCACCTGAGCAGAGGGCTCAAATGGGCATTTATGACCACAATTTGCCCTGCTTTCTTCAGCCTATCTGTCAACGTTTCACATTTTTAACTTTTGATGAAAAACAACTTAGCCATTTTCAACCAAATTTAATCAGAGCATCCTTGGATAAAAGGAATTAAAATTTTGGGCCATCATCATCACTTCCAAAGGGATATATATATATATAAGAATTTGTGAAAAATTAATGACATCTTTTAAAAATCTTCTTTAAGAATCAAAGGGTCAAAAGATTTGAAACTAGTGATGGGAAAGTGGAAAAAATCAGATTATAATCGGTTATAATCAATTTTTTTAACTTTAATGAAATAAATATAAAAAACTTATAATTATTCAGATTTTTAAGTTCAGACTTTTACAAAAAAAATCATTTAAATATAACATTCAAAAATGTTTATTAATTTTTGGTTTAAATCAGTGGATATTATTATTTCTTTACTTTAAAAAAATCTCTAAAATATATTGAATGAGATTTTATACAATTATTTTTTTAAAAAAAAATCTCATTATATATATTGAATGGGAATATTACTGATATTTGTCCAACCTTGCATTACATGTATTTATTTCTTGGAATTACAAGTTTTAAAAGCAGTTATCCAGAAATTGAACTTGTATTCCTGATTATACTTATGTTTACAGATGCCTTGTACTAAAAGGGCTTTCTCGTGTATAGTAAAACCTTGTAATAGGTCAATTTTCTGATATATATTCAATCATGGTGTAAAAATATCAATGTGGAATGGATACCTTCAATATTTTGAATATTCAAAATTTCTTAAAACTCTTTGCACTTGGATATGGTAATAAGTATTGCAATAATATTTTATGTTCTTGATGTCAGTGACATTTATTTTGTATTCAATTAGTCACATCCAAGAGCTCCTAACAACCGACAATCAGCCCATCACTAGTTAAAACTTATTTGATTTCAAGCTTTACTTAATAGTGTAGAATGAAATAACTAATTGACAGGGTAGTGTGAGGCCACATTATGTGATTTAAGATTTACATAATAAATATATAAGGAAAAATCGGCCTATGAAGAATAGCAGAACCATAGGGATTCGGGGGAGACTTGTAGCCTCTCAATTGATTTTTGGCAAACTGTATGGGATAATGTGTGATAACTGTATATGTATGTATTGTTTAGGAAATTGAGCCTCTTTTGATTCAATTTTGGCAGACATTTATTTTGATAAAGAAATAAAAGCTTCCATGTTTCAAAATTGTTACAGATTGCAGATCCAGTTCATTCCGTAATTGACCAAATCATTAATAATGAAATGCAACTTCAAATGGTAGATGATTTTGATTTAGAAATTACACGTCAAAATGAATATTTAGGAGTTTTTGGGCTTTTCAGGCAACCTATCATAGGGGATGGAAATTGTTTATTTAGAGCAATAAGTTTATCATTGTTTGGAGATCAAGACCACCACCTCGAACTTAGAGAAACAGCTATCAATGAAATTCAACAAAATTTAAATGAATTTAGGATGTCTTTCTATCATGATAGTGATAATATGCCAATGACTGACCAAGAAATTGAAATAGAATTAAATAATTTGAGGCAGTTTGGGACATATGCTGGTCAGGAATGCATTTTAGCTTTGTCAAGACACTTTCACATTAACATTTTGGTAACATTTGGTGGTGATATAGATAATCCAAATGTGGTCACTCATGAACACAACTTTGGTCAATCAGATTCGCAAATTCACCTGGTTTGGACAAGATTTGGGGGTGGGCATTATGAAAGTGTTTTAGAAAATCCTGCATTGCATATTAATGAACAATCGCAAAATGACTTATCTAAATCTAAACCATCTAGTAAATATGTATGGAAAGAAAATATGTATTGTAGGAAATATGACTTGTATAATCTGGTAAATCAAAAGACACAGCAGTCAGGTGATTACATAAAAAATATACATTCTTATGGAAAAGAAAAAGAACCTGAAGTCAGTGAAAAAAATCAGTGTAGTCAATGTAAAAAAAAATTCTATGATAGGTCAACTTTACTTAGACATAAAAAAAAAGTGCATGAAAAAGAGAGTAAAAATCATGAAAATAGGGTGTCATGTTTTGTACCATCATGTGATTTAAATTTTTTTCATATAGAGAACCTAATTGAACATTTGATCAATGCGCACAGTGCCGATATTGAAATTGAAAATTTGGAATTTGAGAATATGGGGGCTTTTGATAAATTTAAGGAGGAGGAATCTTTACAAAAAAATACAAGGTTTGTTCTACACAGATCAATTAAAACAAATAAAGATGGCAGCAAAAATTTCATTTTAATTTGTCATAGAGATGGTAAAAAAAGATGTATAGATAAAACCGGAAAAAGAAGAAATAACAAGAAAGGTTCGTGTAAAATAGAAGGTCTTTGTTTGTCAAGAATGTCGGTATCTGTTGGGATAGATGGAACTGTCAAAGTAAAGTATATCAAATCGCATTCCCACTCCCTTGATTTTGGTCAAAGTAAATTTCTTCCCATTCCCGAAAATATAAAAAGTGAAATAAGTACAATGTTGGCCTTGAAAATTCCTATTAGTAATATTCTTGATAAAATAAGAGAAAATTTTTGTGATAGGGATAATCGTGAGGACATGAAAGGAATTAAACATTATCACTTAATTGATAGGAAGACAATTCACAATATTAAACAGAAAATAGTCGATTCTTCGGTCATTAAGCACAGTGATGATGCCACATCAACATTTTTGCGTGTAGAATCTCTTAGGAAAGAAAAATTTGATCCAGTTTTAATTTATAAACAACAAGATGTAGTGGACCAAACATTAGGACTTGATAAAGGGGATTTCATGTTGGCAATTATGACAAAACAACAACTTACCATGTATGAAAAATTTGCCCCCATTATTCTTTGTATGGATTCAACCCACAAAACCAATATTTATTCTTTTAAATTAATAACACTGTTAGTTCCAGATGAATTTAGAAATGGTTATCCCGTGGCATTTTGTATTTCAAACAAAGAAGATGAGAAAGCAATTAGCATTTTTCTTCAGTCAGTAAAAAACAGATCACCTCAGACAAAAGTAAAAATTATAATGACCGATGACGATAATTCAGGGTGGAATGCAGCTCAAAAGGTATATGGGCCTGATTTAAAACAATTTCTATGTATTTGGCATGTTCATAGAAATTGGAGGCGAAGAATCCAGCAACACATCAAAGAAAGTCAACTTCAAACTGAGATTTATTACCTATTATGTTCAGCTTTACAAACCAAATCGGAAAATTATTTTAATCAATATATACAAGGTTTAGTTAGGAAGTTAGGGGAGGTCAGCCCAGCTTTTTTGAAATATTTTCAGGATTTTTACCTTTGTAGAAAGGAAAAGTGGGCTATGTGTTTTCGAACTGCAGAATACTACAATGTAGACACAAATATGTTTCTTGAAAGCTTTCACAATCAGTTGAAAAATATTTATTTTGAAGGAAAACGAAATCGCAGAGTAGATGTGCTTGTAGAAACATTACTCCAGATTGAAAATAACCTCTTTTTCAAACATTTCACAAAGAAAACCTACAATTTACCATCAAAAGAAGATATTAAAGTTAATGACCGTCATGAAAATAGTTACAGCATTTCAGATTCAGATGTTTCACAAGTAAATGAAAAAACTTTTATGATAATCTCAAAAAATGGTACATGTATTTATACAATAGAAATTCATTTCCAAACCTGCCCAGAATCACAATGTGCAGTCAAATGCAAGAAAATTCCATGCATAAATTTATGTCGCCATCTCTTAATGTGCAACTGTCCTGACTATAGTCAAGGAAACATGTGCAAGCACACTCATAAAGTATTTTGTATCATTAACAGAAATAAAGAAACAGACATAGAAGGTCATCAGATACCAACTAGTAATGTCCAAGATAAGGTCCAAATTGTTAGTGCATCAATTACTTCACAATCCAAAATGACCAAAATCAAAGAAATTCAAGACAAATTAAAGATAATATCAGATCAGGTCCAAAATGACAAATCTGTTCAAGATCATAGGCTAGACAATGTGCTTCTTGCTTTGAACCATATCATATCTGCAAATGAGGGTTGCAAAAAAATATCAAGGTCATTCCTCCAGTTCTCAAAAACTGAAAAAATAACATCAAATGCCATTAATGAGAAACAACCAAGATTTAGGCGTACAGAAAAAACAGCTGGTAGAAAAAGAAAAGCACCTTTACGAAAACCATCTGAGGGTGAAAAAATAAAACTTTTAGAGAATTTGCAACAAAACCAGGATTTTGAAGGTGAAAACTCCATCTCTGATATGCAGAACTCAGATTCTGATCAAACATCAAGTAGAGATAATGAACAAGGTGCAAATTTACAAACATCTGAGTTAGGGCCATCTGTTGCCCCATATCCCCCACTAAGATTAGTTCATCCTTCTCAGCCAGCAAACTTACCCATACAAACAACTGAACCCTTATTCAATGTTTTTTCAACAACATGGTCTACCCTCGACATACAGAATACCCCCATCTTTGTATGGTAGAAGAATAACAGTTATCCAGAATAACCGAAAACAAGATATAATATTTCATGTTCCATCAGAAAAACCAGATGAAAGTCTTTGAGTGTACTCATTTTTTTTTTACCATAAACAACCAATTTGCATATGATTTGAATGTCAAGCAACTTGCATAGAAAATTCTACCTAACTGACAAACTTGCATAAGTGTGTAAACCTCCTCTTCTTCCATACTTTACCGTTTTCAAAGATATCATTTGCAATTCAAAAATGTAGATCTGTTGGGTCATTATTTCATAGTTGCATGTAAATTACAAATTGGTAAAGGGTTATGATTTTTTTTAATTCATTTTAAGTTTTAAAAGTTAGGATTTAGGTTATTACTTTTTTGGACATATCTAGTTGACAGCTGTAACTGGCATAAAGTCAGTCCAGTAGCAGATTGGCAATGGTAGATGGGCATTTCCAGCTTTGCCCTAGGCCAGTGTCTAGTTGCAGTTTGTCAGCTATCTAAAAGAAGAATACTGGGATGGGAGCAGGTGTGTAAGAGAGAATTTAACTAAGTAACATATTTATCTTGTTTATGATGGCTTTTATTTCCATTTTAATTTTTAAAAGTTAGGATTTAGGTTATTACTTTTTGGACATATCTAGTTGACAGCTGTAACTGGCATAAAGTCAGTCCAGTAGCAGATTGGCAATGGTAGATGGGCATTTCCAGCTTTGCCCTAGGCCAGTGTCTAGTTGCAGTTTGTCAGCTATCTAAAAGAAGAATACTGGGATGGGAGCAGGTGTGTAAGAGAGTGTCTAGTTGTAGTTTGTTAGGTCAGCAGTTAACTTCTAGCAGCATATTAGGAACATTACTCAGATTTTTATTATTGTAAGACTGGTCAGCATTTCAGATCTGTGACTAAGTTGTACACCACAGTCAGTCTGACTAAAGCCAGTCCCTACTATTTCACTTTGTTCGTAGAAGGAATGGAAATAGTAGGGGCTGGCTTTAGTCAGACCGACACCACAGTAACGGAAACATGATTACGGATACATATCTTCATCAAATCATATACCATAAGTTGTAAATTAGCATTTCATTATGTAGGAGAATAAGTATAAAGATGATTGTTTCTTGCAGTTTTATTTTTATTACACATTTCCTTGAGAATTTTAAGGAGTATCAACTCATATTCATTGATTATATTTACAGCTTAATTTGGATAAATTTAAAATTCTAGAACACAAATTTCTAATAATTCATTTATTTAAAAGAATTATAAAATAATTTGAGTTCTTACTCCTTGTTTCGTTATTGTTACCAAGATTTATTCTTTACTTGTTCTTCAGGCCCATTTTGAAGTTTAACTGAAATTGAATGCTTGATAATTTAGTTAAAGAGCATTTTCCATATTATGAGATTAGTCACTGAAAACATAATCTTTTATTTAATAATTTTCTGTTAAAATGATAACATAATTTTCTTTAAATAAGAATCATGATTTTTATTAGCTCACCTCAACGAAGTTGGGGGAGCTTATGTAATACCCTCGGCGTTGGTGTCCCAGGTTAAAGTTTGTGGAGCAGTTTTCTTTTTAAGTACTTCTATGCCCTATATTAATCAGAGATGCATTGAGGATGCTTCTAATGTGTTTCATTGTACCAGTCAAGGTTTCAGATGCTGCAATTTCAGCTGAAGAATGACCAGGTTAATGTTTTTGGAGCAGGTCAAAGTTTTTGGAGTAGGTTAAAGTTTTTGGAGCATGTCTCATTTCAAAGTAGCTACAGGCCCTTTAATGTTGACCAGACTTGCATGGATGATAATCTAAGGATGCACACTACTGTACTTGCTGGATCTGACCTACATTTTCCAGATGAGTGACCAGGTTAAAGTTTTTTGAGCAGATCTCATTTCCAAGTAACTACCAGTATAAGGCTTATCTGAACCACACTTGCATGGATGAAGCATCAAGGGACGAACACTCTCAAACTTGCTTTAGATGACTGGATTTTCTGGATGAGTGAATAGTTTAAAGTGTTTAGATAAGTCCATTCCCAAGTAACTGCAAGCCCCATCAGATCAAAATTGCATAAATGTTTCATCTAGGGGTGCACACTATTACATTATTACTTTAGTTTGGGACTTTGCCTTACTTAAAGAAAACATCATTGCGGTGAGCTCTGTAATCTCTGATTACCTCTGTTCTACTTTTAAAATAAATGACATTGATATTTATTAAATTTTTGATTTTTGAATACCCAAAGAAAAAAAAAAAAAAGAAAGAAAAAAAACAAAAAACAAAAACAAACTAAACAAAGCTAACGCTGTCAAAATATACTTTACCAAATAATATATAAAAAATAGAGGGTTAGTTCCAATGTAAGTCAATATCATACATCTTTATCAAAAAGAGCATATGATAATTTTCCAATGCATTGGTTTTTCTTAGCGTTAGTTTTGTTTTATTTTATGGGCCGAAACTTTCCTGGTGGTTTTAAAATGTGAAAAATTTTGTTTTGGTAAAAATTTTAAAGTAATATTAAATGATTCTTTTAATACACCAGGAAGGTATCAGGGAAATACATATCAATTTTATTTTAAACTTCATCAGATTGATCTCTTCCCTGACTGATGAGGCCCAAAGAGACAATCTGATGAATTGAACAAATGTGTGGCAGTCAGGCAGATTCATTTGCTGGTAAGCAGATACATGTTGCATGCCATGGTTGGTAAAGCACCTGATTACTTATTTTAAGGGTGGAGGGAGGGGGGGGGGTGTTCAAATTCTGGTCAAGTCTGTCACATTTTCTCTTTTATTGTTACATTTGCAAAGTATGCTGTGTATTTGTTTAAAAACCACAACTGTCTGTGTCAATTCTTTTATGTATTTTAAAGCAGATTTCTTCTGGCTACTTAGAGTACCGTATGAGGCCCAATTCAGTGCTTAGTCCATTGTATGATGATATATTGTACGAGTTCTAGTCAGTCCTCCAGCTTGCAGAAGAGATAACTGGTGGCATGCAGTGTGAATGACAAACCCCTCAAAGAACAGTCATATTGTACATGAAATTGATTATTCTGGCTGAGATCTTTGAATTCTTTCATTTTCTGCAATGATTTGTCTATACTATAATATGTAATATTAGGTATGTTTTAAGCATTTAACATGTTTCATACCTTGATTTTGCTAAAGTTTAGGACTTTCTGTGAGAAAAAAAATTTATGAAATCAAATCCTTTGAATGACATCCTTTTTATGACTATGAAATCTGTATTTTAATTTTTTGATCTGTGTGTTTTTTGCGGATTGGTAGGTAGGATTTTGAAGGATGGGTGGAAGGTAAACATAGAAAAAACTTGGAATGGCCTTATCATTATAAAAATCAATTATGACAAAAAGTGTCAATATCACTTACTGTAAACCAATTTTCGAAACCAGTTTCGCGACCTTTTTTTACTCAGTTATATTTCCTGTCGCGATGTGTGTAAAATAAAAAAATCAATACTTTTTACCATCTGTGTCTTTTTTTTTTCTATACAACCACTGCTTACTTTGACTGAAAACAGGTTCCCCAATAAATGAAACTATAATACTCAGTCATTACCCAAATATGACCATGTGCATTCCAACTTCTTTAAAAGCATCGTGAAGTCATCTATAGAAAGTTATTTGCCATGCTAACATAGTTTCAACTGCATAGATGGCCTAAATTTGTTGGAAAATAGCTCATATTGGAGGTCAAATTAAAAATGTATTTTGCAGAATAAACAAAATACATGACAACTTTCTTGAAACACAAGCAATTTCTGGGCTTAGGTCAAAAACACAGAGGCAAGCCACTCTTATCCTTGGCTAAATATTGCTTACATGTATATCACAGTAAATATGTATCTTACTTACATAACTGAGGCTATTACTCATAAGAGTAAGCATAGTATTAAATGATGATGGATCATGCATTCAACATACAGGGTGTTTCAGAAAACATGCAACTATTTCAAACTACTGAATTTCTCTATGATTTCAATCAATACCAGCCAACAACCTATCATTTTGAAAGGTATAATTTCAAGATTTATTTTTAAGAAAATGAAAATGAAAACAATCCCTCAAATAATTAATGAGTTACAAAAGAATTAAGAGAAGTTGTAAAATGTCATTTTGTTACAAAATATGCTTTAAATGGTGTTCCTTTTGTTGAATAAATAAATCTAATTATCTGATGTTAGATATTTCCTATAAGGCCATTCCAAGTTTTTTCTATGTTTAGCGTCCACGTGCGCCTAGGTTTTTGACACCTTATATCAGAAAAAACAAACAAAATCAGGATACCTGAAACTGATTATTCTAGTCAAAATCTTTGAATTCTGTCAATTTTTGAAATATTTGTCTACAATATGTCATGTTAGGTAAACTTTAAGCATTTAATATTCTGATTTTGCTTAAGAATAGATCTTTCTACGAGAAAATAGATTAATGAAATCAAATCCTATAATTGACCTTATTTTTATGATTATATATTCTTTGTTTTATTTTTTCTTTTGTGTGTTTTTTGCAAATAGGTAGGTAGGTTTTTAAAAGATGGGTGGACGCTAAACAGAGAAAAAACTTGGAATGGCCTAACTATAGCACAGGATTTCTGTGTAATCAGCTTTTAATTTATGGCCAAATTTTCTGTAGTCTGAGGTCCTATTTTATAAACGGTGTCCTTCAAATGTCCTTGGAAATAAAAGTAAAGGGGTTTTAATCAATACGTGAGTGTCAAAAAAAGGCAAACGTTAACATTATGGAATTGAAGAAGATGATGTTTTTGTCATCCACTGGCATTCAGTCCAGAACACACTATGAGGTATGTTGGGCACCTCATTTTTGCTGAAACCATGCATTTTCCACATCATTGGTTTTCTTCTGCAAAGGGTAGATCTTTCTTGTGAAACAATTTCAGGTATTTTTCAGAATAGACACATTCCATTTCGATTCTTGAAAGAAAAATGGGCCAGTTCAATGATTCCCCTTGTGCCAAGGACTGCCTTTGATTTTAGTCCTTAACCTTAGTCTTGTATTCCATTAACTTCCTTTTTTTAAACATTCTTTATAACTTCCATTTATTAGTATTTGAGTTCTGCTGGATTCCTTTTTTCATTGTTCTTCTCGCAAGAACCTGTGATGTGCTTTTATATACCAGTTTCAACACCTGCTAATTGTTTCTAGTAGATTCATAGGTAATTGTTTGTTTATAATGATGTCAGATATGATGTCACAACTAATTTAATTGATGTTTATTCCCCATATTTTTGTTATCAATAAAATCTTAGGCCTTTTTAGTATAATTTGGTATGAAACTTGTAAAAATTTCTGTTTGCATATCAACAAAGTAAGGGAAGTAAATGGTTGCATGTTTTCTGACACACCCTGTACATTACAAGTAAAATAAAAGAAAACTGTTATATAGCTTAAAAAATTCAAAACAGTATATGATGTTTACAATAATTTTATTACTTTCCTTTAAAAAAAACAAACATTTTATGTAAAGGTTAATCAGATGCCATTCCAAAATAAAGTTACAATTTATTACTTTGTATCAGAAAAGTCATATTTGCATATGCAATAATTGAAGCCAGTCAGGACAACACACCTCTTCTGTTCTCTTCAATATTCTTTAGGCAGGGAAAAACAATCAGGACACTGTCTTTTTCATCTGTGAGGTTAATTATCCCATTCAGGCATTGTGATAATGATATACCTCTTGAAAGTTGATGACATCTAAGGTGTTTGCACATGAACCAAAGACTTTGTTGAACATAGATTCCTTAAACATAAAACATAACAAATTAAAAAAAAAAAAATTATTAAACATTTGTATAGTAAGAATTTTAATATAAAATGTCAAGATTCATGGAAATTTATTTCTGAATATAAATTCATTCATGAAGAACATTTTGGTTAAGTTTAATGTTATGCAGTAAAACAAGCTTATATCACAGTGATTTTCATTCCCCATGACTTTAAATTATATTGTCAACTAAACAAATTGTCCATCCCTGGCACTTCATGATAAGCGTGTTTTACTGTAGTTAGCTTACATGTACAGAAACAAGATGTATCACAAAATTGCAGGGTTGTCTCTAAGAATTGCAATAGTACAGGATATTAAGAAAGCACAAGGGGTCTGTGATTCTTCCCCTATCATGTTCTTGAGGGGTAACAACAGGATAACTAAAGGATTACGTCATTATACATGGGGAAATTAACCGACCCCCCGGTTTCACTACAGACAACCCTGTAGCAGTATAAATGTATTACATTAAAATGCACTGGATGAATTATGCCAGTCACATCTACATGCTTGTGTGTATACGTACTATTTTAATATTGTTTATTAGTACTTAATCTCCTAAAACTCACGGAGGATTTCAACCAAAAAAAAAATTATCTTGACGAGATCAAAGCAAGGAGATAAATTTTTTTAAATTAAGAAATAAGGTATTTTTTGCGTTTTATTGGGGTGTAAATAAACTAAATACAGGTTAGCAACATGATCAAATCCCATAAAGCCCAAAGGGAGTTTTAACTTCAGCATATGAGATAATTTTTGTGCACTGCATAGTTAGGGCTGATTAATAAATTTGCCAAAAATATACACAATAACAATATCATGTGTTAACTTCTAAATGTTTTATTGAGGAGGATATACCCCTGTTTCAAATTTCCTTTTCAAACACTGCTATGGTCATAGATAACAAGAGGATGGCCTATTAATTTTGGAAATAAATATTTGCTAGGAAGTACTGAAAATAATTTGTCCTCAACTTCGTTGTCTGGTGATATTAACCCCCCCCCCCTTATAGGGTATGTTATGTTTTATTTATCATGCTGCCGCTGCTAAACTTTATCATCATTATTTATTATAAATAATATTTGTCTATAAATACAATGTTATTACTTCGCCTCTGTCAATATTGATATTTTTTTTGGAGAATAACAAACCATATTCATTACCGAAAGAGTCCATAATTGTATAATATGTGTATTGAAATATTTCGCCTTAAACATAATAAAATTAGTTTAATAATATGCTTATATCAAAATTTTCATTTATTTACATGTAGTCAATACTATATAACTTACTACTTACATACAGTAATTGGCAATAACCTTTTTGTCGTACTGGAGGGGAAAATTTTCCTTGTTTACGTTACACAGGAAGAAGGTGACTTCTGCGCATGCGCAGTGAGGTGAGTCAATGTTCCGATTGCAACCACATTCGGGATGTTTCGGTAGGCCAAAAGCTGCAAAAAGTCGCTTCCGTACGCATCCATGACTGTACCTGCTCACTAATATCAAAAACGGAATGTCAGAGCAAGATTTTCCGGATTGTTCAACATATTAAACTATATGTTGTTAATTAATTAAGGACATTGGCAAGTCAAGGTTTTCCGGAAAAAGAAGGTTTAATACATGGGTTTTTTCACTTATAAAATAGTGATTGAGAGTGATCTCCCGTGTAGAATTCGTATGTTACAGAGGTAAATAAAAGCACGTGTACTTCCTTAACGGGTAGAATCATCTATACAGCAAGAAAGAAAAGTCGTAATGGCTTTGTTGTACATTGCATTCAGGGACAAAGAGCCAACAGGTCGACATTAACGTTAGTTATGCTCAGTGTGCTGGGAAGAGCAAAGATGTGACATATTCTGAAAGGTAGGCCGACTGAGAACAGTTCTTAGCTAGGTTGTGTGAAGGAAGCTGCGTTTAGTAACTACGAATAAAAAATAAAAATAAAACAATGCCAATATTTTTGTTACAATGTGTTTCAATCAATTCAGTCAACTACATGATAAAAACAATCAACCAGTCTCTTGGTCAATTTTAGCTGTTAAGGGAAGCAACTCAGAAATAATGATTGGTGCCGGTATATCCATGTCTTGTTCCGATATATATTTTTTCAGCGAAAATTTTTTAGAAGTCATAGGAAATGAAGATACAATAATGTATATAATACAAAAACTGTATGAAATAAGTGGGTTTTGTGAAAATATTATGGTGAAAAATTATGTAGGTTCCTTTTATCAACATTTTACATAGGAAATGCATTGAGAAGTGTAAAAACACTGATTTGAC